GCTTTTAATCTATCTCGGTGGAAATACCAAGCTGGCTTTTGGGATTGTGGACCTGGTGCTCAGATGAGTCATGTACCAGAGATCTTTTAGAAGGTTCCTTAATAGACACTTGGGTTCAAAGAGAAGCGACATTAATTTTAAAAAAATGTTGGAAAGGGCCAGGGCAGGGAAGAAAAATGGAGAAGGTTTGCTAAAGACAGGTAGGAGAATCAAGAGGCCATGTTGTCTTAGACATTGAGGGCAGGGAGGTTGAGGAAGCAAAGTAAGTCGGTGGTGAAGGCTGATGAGAGGACGAGTAGGTGGAGCCCCTTGTGTTTGGTAATCAACGTGTCTTTCCCCATCTAGGAGAATAAAAGAATGAAGCAATGTCTGGAAGAAGAACTGAAGTCCAGAAGGGACCTAGAAAAGCTGGTCCGCAGACTGTTGAAGCAAACAGATGAGTGCATGCGAGCTGAATCCAGTAGCAAGACCTCCATTCTTCCATAACCATCACTGTGCCGCTGGGCAGAGAGTGCCTTTAGGGCATCTTGAAATGTCCCGCAGAATAATTGACTTCACTCGCTCACTTCTGTGGCTTCTGTTTTGTGTTTGAGGCTCTCATTCTCTTTTTCTCTCTCCCTGCCTCTGTGTGTGTGTGTGTGTGTGTGTGTGTGTGTGTGTGTGTACTTAGGGTCTGTTTGGCTATTGGTTGGTTGTTCATTGTTTTCAAAGGGGGAAAAAGCAGGAGGTAGTGGTAGAAGTGTCCCCAGAACCTTTTCCATTCAGTAAGAAAAAGAAAGGGAATGCCTGCAGATGACCTAAAAGGTCTTCAGATGGCTATGGCCTAGGGGTCACATTCTTAGGGCTGCCTGCTGTCCCAAAACAGCTGGCCACACTTATTAAATGTGAACCCAGTTTTCCCACCAATGCTTTCCTGTACCTGTAAGGTCCTCAGTGCCTAATTTTTAGAAGGCAAAGCTTCCTGAGCTGTGAAGCGAGTAGGGTGAAAGACGAACTCATTGGCCCAGTGATCCAGCTGCCCTTCCCTGGCCCATCACACACCATCCCTCAATCATACTTTTTTGTTGGTTACTGCCATATGTTGTGAATAAGACCAAAAAAACTGTAGTACCCTTATTCCTGTTGTGTTGGTGTCCATTGTAACTCAGTGGGGCAGAAACTTGGGTCATCGTGCCAACACCAAATCCATCAGAAAATCGTTTGGGACAATCTTCCCCTTCAGCAGCAGAGTTGAGCATCTCTTCCCAGTGCACAGTAGGTTTTCCCCCTAGCCTTCTGCCTAGTGGGTACATTTTCTATTTCTCCAGTGCTTTTAGCCAACTGTACCAAGTGGTGTGTGAACTAGTTATGTATGGGCTTTGCTAATTTTATAAAAAGTAGTTAGACTGTGAAGAGTCGCTTTATCTCCATTGCATATTCAAAGCTTTTGTCCCTCAAAAGAATCTGCAGCGAGGAGATATGAAGCCCTAGTAGGCGACTTTTATTCATTTTCTCGCTCGCTCATGTATGCTGTGAGAAGTGGTAATGATCATCGGCCTCTTTGAGTAGGACTCAGCCTTACTTACAGACACATGCTATTGGTTCAGTGTGTATATCCAGGACAAAAGGGCTCCTCTAGTAGCTGTGTGCTGGTCACTAGTGAAGCTAACTATTTGGAGCTGGTTTACTCAGGTTGTTCATTAAATCAAAGCATCAAATTTGCAAGTATCCCAGAAACTGAAACTGTGAGAAACGGGCTCCAGAAGAGAGTCAGAGAAGAAGAGCACACATCCAGATCCAGTGCGACTGGAAATCAGCCCCAGGCCCTGGGACGGAGCAGTGCAGCCCGCCCCGTCCTCCCCTACAGACAAGGGAAGGTCATTGGAAGAGAGATCAAGGGTCAAAGGGCTGATCAAAGTTGTCTTCCCCATACATTTGATTGGTGCCTGTCAATGTGGGTTTTACAAAAGTTTAGAAACCAAACTTGAAGCTTGAAACTCCCAGCCTGCTGAGGGGCCCTTTTTCCTTCTGGTACTGAGGGTCTCAAGGTCCTATAGCTACATGGTACGGGGCTGCTGTTTGCTTTTTGCACAGCAGAAATGACATGATCCAGAGGAAATGGACTATATCTGCATCCCCCATCAGCCAAGCACTCACAGCTGTCACTGGAAGCTGCAGAGTAAAGATTTCTAGGAATGGCTGTTGTTCTGTTTTCAAGCATAGCGGTTTAGATATGACATTCTTCACTTAAAAATTAAAAGCCCCATCCCCTCTGCCACCAATAATAACACCAACATAAGTCTCCTCATCTGCCCATGTCTGTGGTTAGTCAATGGCTTGCAATTAATGTGCAAACTATATCCGTAGGAAACATTTTTGTGATTACAAAATACTCTAGTTGATTGCTGAAATTATTGAAGGGTCTTTATTTTAAAGTGATGTGTACATATGCATGGGACCTGGCCCTTCTGATGAGAGGCCCTCAGTACTCTGGGTAATGAAGCTTGTGCAGAGTGGTATCCATGCTTACATACTAAACAATAATATAAAGGAAACGAAGCCATGTTAACCTGAGAGCAGTGTCTCCATAGTTGTGTTGTTTACAGTACTCTACAAATGGGTTCCTGTTACCCTGTAATTAATCTGCTGCCCTTAGAGGCCTTTCAGTTCCTTTTCTGTCATGCCCCTTCTTACACAAGCTCAAATTTTCTAACTTGTTTTGATTTTGGAGACTTTTAAAATTGACATTTTCAATACATAATAAACAGTGCTTTATAAAAATAAGTCCTGTGTTTCTTTTTTTACCAGCTGGTGTGCAGAAAGATCTCTTGTGCTGTGTCAGCTTCCTCTCCACTTCCCTCATTAGCTAGTCCACTCTCACTAGACCCACTCACCCGTTGGTACTTTTTTTCACTCAGGGAAAATGACGTTTGTTCCCTACTTTATGGATATCATCCATATCATGGATTCCCTAACTTCTCCACCTATCTTCTTTTGGCTTTAGCCTATAAACTATGTATACCTCTTCTATTTTATTTTCAGTATTAGAGAAAGATATGTCCATTATCTGTCCAAGCTTACCGCTTCATCTTTAGTCTTGTCTTTCTTTGTATTTTGCATGATTTTATCAATCAGTGATAATCTTATATTTTGACTACACTTGCAATGCTGGTTGCAGCAGTCAGTATGAAAATATTTTAAAATAGATGAGCTGGATATTATCTGCTACTCAGCACACATTCTAATGTCATTTTATTTTTCTCCCTCAAAACATAGAGGCTAAAAAATACATTTCCTAGACTCCCTTGCAGCTAGGGCTCTGTCTGATACATTTTCACTTCTGCCAGTAAGGTTTGGAAGGTTTAAGTTAGGCAGACGCTATCTTCTTGGGACCTGGGGGCAGGCAGTTCCAAAGATGTGCTCATGGGTTCTGTACTCTAGATTCCATCATGTCTACTCACAGCTTTGTGGGTGAGAGCTTGTAGTGCAGGAGTAGCTTCCTAACATGTGGATCCCAACTGCAGACATGACCTTGAAGCCATTAGTTCAGTGGCTGACCTTGATTTCCCCTTGACTTCCATTTCTGTAGCCTGATGGTTTTATGGACACCTAATTACCTTCCTGACTGAGATACATTCAGTAATTACTTTCTTTCTTTTCTTTTTTTTTTTTTTTGAGACAGAGCCTCAAGCTGTCCCCCTGGGTAGAGTGCCGTGGCATCACAGCTCACAGCAACCTCCAACTCCTGGGCTCAAGCGAGTCTCCTGCCTCCGCCTCCCAAGTAGCTGGGACTACAGGTGACTGCCACAACACCCAGCTATTTTTTGGTTGCAGCCGTCATTGTTGTTTGGCGGGCCTGGGCTGGATTCGAACCCACCACCTCAGGTGTATGTGTCTGGTGCCTCAGCCACTTGAGCCACAGGCGCCAAACCAGTAATTTGTTTCTTGATCTGAACCAATAGATATAACATTGCACCTTTTATGTACTAGGCACTGTACTAAGTGGTTTACATAGTTAAGCTCACGTAAGCCTCACAAAAACCCTATTGTGTATTCACTGTTGTTGTCTCCATCTTATGAATAAAGGGAGACACAGAGGTGTTGAACAACATGCTAGCATGTGGTGTAGCTGGAGTTGGAAACCCTGGTAGTTCTGCCTCTTGAACACATGCTCTATCTATTACATTTCCTCCTCTGCATTTGGTACCTGCTAGCTAAGGCTCAGACATTCACCCTCATGAAGTCACCATTAAGCTCTTAATTCTAGGAAATGATTTCAATACCCACCTTGACCTCTCTGCAGTATTTGACTCTCATCTTTTTTTTTCTTTTTTTTTACTGTTGGGGATTCATTGAAGGTACAGAGAACCAGGTTACATTGATTGCTTGTGTCAGATAAAGACTCATAATTGTGTTTTTCCCCCAAAAGGTGTACCCCCCGTGATACCCCCACCCCCTCCCTCCTTCCCTTTCTCTGCTCTCCCAATCCTCCACCCCAACTCTCATCTTCTTGATAAATTTCTCCTTCCTCAGTTTTCATAATCCTGTTCTTGCTTCACATTCATTCAATCCCCCCTCCTTTGCTGGACCTGCCTCCTTTGCCTGTTCCCTGAATGTTGCTAATCCTTGACATGTTTTTCCCTATCTCTTCCATTCTAGAGCCTTTTCCTGGGCAACCTTGTCTACTCCTATAACTTCATTTGTCAAAATGCAAATGAGGCCAGGGACCCAGTGGCTCATGCCTGTAATACTACCAGTCTGGGAGGCTGAGGCCAGTGGATTGCTTGAGCTCAGGAGTTAGAGACCAGCCTGAGCAAGAGCCCAACTCAACTTCTACAAAAAAAAAAATAGAAAAAATTAGTCAGTGTGGTGGACTGCCTGTAGTCCCTGCTACTAGTGCCTGTAGTCCTAGCTACTAGTGCCTGTAGTCCCTGCTACTAGTGCCTGTAGTCCTAGCTACATGGGAGGCTGAGGTAGGAGGATAACTTGAGCCCACAAGTTTGAGGTTGCTGTGAGATATGATGACACTACTGCACTCTAGCTTGGGTGACAGGATGAGACTCCTTTTCAAAAAAAAAAAATGCAGATGTCTCCCATGTCCATATTTTTGTGTTCTGATTTTTCTCCTGAGCTCCATGCCCAGGGATGCAGTTACCTTGACATCATTGCTTAGATGTCCTACAGCTCCCCAAATTCATCATGTTCAAAATCTCATGTTTCTGCAATGTTTCCCATCCCAGTGGACAGCACCCGTGACCACTTAGTTGCCCAAGCCAGAAACATGGGCATTATCCTTCATTCTATCTTCTCCCTCAGTCCTTTATAAATGTATACATTAAGCCTTGTTTTTTATTGTTTGGGATTCATTGAGGGTACAAAGAATTAGGTTACACTGACTGTAGTTATTAGGTAAAGTCCCTCTTGTAATTGTGTCCGCCCCCAGGAAGTGTGCCATATACCATGACCCCCCATCCCCCTCCCGCCTCCCTTTAACCCTTTCAAATCTAGTCATTAAGTCTTACTTTTTTTTTGTTTGTTTGTTTGTTTTTGAGACAGAGTCTCACTATGTCACCCTAGGTAGAATCAGAGCTCACAGCAATCTCCAACTCTTGGGCTTAAGCGATTCTCTTGCCTCAGCCTCCCAAGAAGTCTTACCATTTTAAACTCTACCGTATCCCCTGAATTACTTCTCTCCATCCTCGTAGCTATTGCCTAATTTTGGCACCTGTCATCTGTCCTTGGCATCTCCTTGCTTCTTACATTGTCCTTACCCCACTGCAGCATTTACGCTTGCCTTGGAATGTTTCTACATCTGTTTGGCAAAACACTGTAAACTACTTGAGAACAGGGACTGTGTCGTATTTATCTCTGTATATTCTAAATGCATAGCACAAAACCTATAACCTCAGTCACTGTTGGATGGGTGTATGAACGGATGAAAAACCCTTTAACTGCCCCATGTAAGAAATGTGAATCAATTCTAAGATGGGTCAAAGGTTTCCCTTTAGACCCCAAAGAAGTTTGTAGTCACCACTTCCTGGGTGAAGGACTCACCTACAAGTCAGTCTTTACCCTACAAACGCAAACCTGATCCTATGTGCCCTCATATTAATCTGAAATAAAAATAAACAAAACAGAAAGAGGTTTATATCAGAGAGGTACAAAAGATAAGAGTAGGTTTGTCACCATTAGCAAAAAAAAAAAAAAATGTGAACTTACAGATAGTAACTCAGTGGAACTCCAGGAATGGAGAATAGAGAAAATAACTATATTTAAATGTTTTTTTTCCTGATAGTTGCTGAATTGCCTATAGAGTTATTCAGAGGAGTGTGGTATGGGAGGGGTAGATTTGTGTGTCAGAGTCCCCTAGAGTGAGAATAAATGTAGTCTTTTAAAGAAAGCTTCCTAAATATAGAACAGCTTAAGCCTACTGAAAATTTTGACAACCCCAAGCCCCAGTGGTTAACTGTTTTTGACAATGAAACTATAAAAAGTGTCTTTACTACATTCAGATCTACTCTAATATTGTGCATACATCCTTCCATAATTGAACCTTGCTTTTTCTTTCTGTTTTTGCTTTCACTTTGCATCACCTTGGGTGTGGTCTTTGTTTTACTGCAAGACCTCTTCTGTGTATGTGGGCTGGCAGGCATTTTAAGATAAGTGTCCTGTCCACTTGTATAACTGCATGCAGACGGGTATGCTGGGAAGCACATAGTGACCAACCTTAGTGCTTTTCAGATGATGATATGCTCCAGAGAGCATACTCTGCTGGGGACCTCATGGGCACAATCTCATTGAATCTTTACAAACTTTGCACAGGAGGTATTCTCATTATTCCCACTTTACAGATGAGAACACTGAGGCCCAGAGGAAGTGAAATGACTTGCCTATGGTTATAAAGTTGGCTAATACTGGAGCCTAGTTAAGACTATATCTGTCTGAATCTAGACTTAACCACTACACTACCAGGAGTATTTCTGGGTTTGTTTTTTTTTTGTTTTTTTTTTTTTGCAGAAAAGAGATGTGGTTCACAGAGAAAAAGAACATAAAAACCATTCTTCTGTGTTTCAAAATTCTTCAGCCTGCTTTAAAAGCCCAAGCCAACGCAGTGGCATTGGGCCCTGTGCAAATAGTAGCATACCGTGCAAGTGCACTCTCTCCTGAAGCTCAGGACTCTCCATGGAGTTCCCTGTAAGTGGGGGTGCCCCTGTACTGCGGCTTGCTACAGCACGCTGTTTGCATTTTGTAGTCATTTGCTTCTTATCAAGTGATGGAGACAGTAATATTTTATCCTTTATTCATTTCTCTTTATCTACAAATAAAAATTATTTGATGAGCAGTGCCTGTGGCTCAAAGGAGTAAGGCGCCAGCCCCATATGCCAGAGGTGGTAGGTTCAAACCCAGCCCCGGCCAAAATAATAACAATTATTATTATTTGGTATTTCAAATATTTCTTCCCTCAGTAGAATGCAGAAGTGACCTGTTTATAAAAATGGAAGCAAATGAGATAATTTATGACCAGGCGATTACAGATAGATCAGAAATGTTCTCAGGTCCTTATCATTTACTAAAAGAACTTTTTCAAAGTTCAAATGAAACTTGGAATAAACACGTACTATTTTATAAATTACTGTGAAATATCATATGATACAAACATGTTGTCTATCTTCATCAGACTATAATCCTCTGTCATTCTCTACTTCATGAGTGCATTTTTATCATCTAGAGGTTTTTGACGTAATGAAAATCTTTTTGGTATTGCAAATTTTTGTTTCAATCAACACACAGAATTATTTCATGGAATATTGAGTTACAAGCAGCTGCATTTACTCTTTCCTCTATTCCTTCCTGCAGTAAGTAAAGGACCAATTGTATGCCAGGCCCTGTGGTAGACACTGAAGTTGCTATGAAGAACAGGATATGGTTTTGGTGCTTAAGAAACTCACAGCATAGTAGAGAAAATCTCAATCATAAGAGCTCTGAAGCACTTACTAAGGGCAGGATACAGTGGGAGAAGGGAACTGGGAGTATAGGAAGAGAAAACAGCATGCCAGGGGCCTAAGGCAGGAAAGCATTTGCAACTTTGCTTAGAGGAACTGAGGGCTGGAATTTACAACACCAAGAGATAGAATGGCAGGAGATGAAATAAGTTGATTATTTTGGTCTTTATTCTAAGGTCCATAAGAAACAGAATAGTGGTGAAATCATAATTGTGTTTAAAAATTCCACTCTGCATGGAGAATGGATGGAAGGAGATAAGAGGCAGGAAGCGTAAGTGGCGTTGTACTATTTCAGAAGAGAGATGATAGCAGCAGCAGAGAAAGAAGTAGATTAATGGAAGAATTATGTATGAGATAGGGATGATGGGTATAGATAGGCTGGTGGGATTGGACATGGGCAGTGAGGACAGTGAGAAGTCAAGCCAGGTTTCTGGGCTGAGAAACAGGGTAGATGAGGACACCATTGACTGGAAAGGGAAACACTAAAGATAGATTCCATGATGTGTGGGACAAGATTAGCTCCATAGGGATGCATTGGGTTTCAGGGTATGAGCCCACCATTTGGAGATGCAGGCAACTTCTAGGGGACAAGGGAGCACTGAGGGCGTGGCATTAGTAGCATGAGTAGCTACTAGGTTAAGACCATGAGGCCAGGGGAGACAGCTGTGCCAAGCATGTAGGACAGGAGGAGAAGATGGTGAAAGATGGAACCTGGATTCCTTGGGCAGGGCAAGGTGAATTCATGAGGAAGCAGCCTGAGAGGTAAAAGCAGTTAGCTGTGTGAGTCTGTAGCTTAGAAGAGGGGTCCACACTGGAGCAATGGAGGTGGCATTTAGAGAGCAGTGGAGACCACAGGAGAGGAGGAGATAGCCGAGCAAATGTAGAGTGTTTTGTATCCATAGCATCACTTCTGGTAACAGATATTGTTAGCAACTTGATTACTAGAGATAGAAATAATCTGGAAGATGATGATTTTTCAAAGAAGAAGGCAAGGTGAAATGCAGGAGCAATGTTTGACCCAAAAGAGGGAATGGGTGTAGGAAAATTATAAGAAATTTGTCTGGGTGGACACAGTTCTTCTTCTTGTTCTTCTCTCTTCTCCTCCCTTCTCCCTTCCTCCTTCTTCTTCCTTCTTTCTTCATTCTTCTCCGTCTCTCTCTTCTTCCCCTTCTCCCCCTCCTCCTCCTTCTTCAGCAGAGTATCACTCTGTGGGGCTGGGTAGAGTACCATCATATCGTAGCTCACAGCAACCTCCAACTCCTAGGCTCAAGCGATCCTCTTGCCTGAGCCTCCCAAGTAACTGGGACTACAGGTGCCTGCTACACAGTGGTTGGGATGAACCCTACTAGAGGGGTGATGCCTCTTGCCTACCGCTTCATTATCTCACTAGGCAAGTTAGGTAAGTATGGCAATGCTACAAAGTGGGCACTCGGCCACTCTGAGGAATGGAAGACCACGGCCTGGGTATTATGCCCCTTTGTCTCGACTGGGCCTGGGATCCTGGTCTTCCTAAGGGAGACCCATACCTGTGAGAAAATCATGTCTTCTCTGCTGCCATATCCACTGCCCCATTTCCTTCAAGTCCCTCAAGCAGAGGTTAACATTGTGGAAGGCTCTTTGCTTCTGGAGGATAAGATAGCAATGTGGTCATATGCCTAGAGGGTCCCTGCATCAACCAATGTCATCCCTGCTCACGCTAAAGCTCTCCCACTGGAGAAAGCACACAGCCAAGCATGTCTGGTATGATTTCAGCTTCCTGTTGGATGTTCATGCTCCAAGGTCTTCAGAGTCACTCAGCCAAGGAGGGACTGTGCTATCCACAGGACTCCCCCTTTCTTATTATTATAGTAATATTTTCTTTTGGATGAACATGTGGTGTTTGTCTTAAGCAAAGCACTCTACTAGTAGAAATGAAGATGTCACCCTGAGTTTCTTACCTGAACAATTCCTCTATGGAAGGGGACAAAAAATATCTCCATTGGCCTCTATGGAAGACTGTGGGGCCAATACTTTCCCTCAGGTTGTCCCAACTCTTGAGGAAGGTAGAACCACCTACTGCTTCTTGCTTAAGGCCTCCCCCTTCAGCCACATTTAGCTGTCATTAACCGAGAAAAAAAATCTCAATCTCCTGCAACCTTTTCAGAGCAAGCTGGAAATAAAAGTCTCAGACTGCTTTTCACTGAATAAGCTAACATGGCATCCATCAGAGGCTATCACAGATTTGCAGAGAGGATGCTGTCACCAAGATGTTTTGCAGTTGAAGTACCTTGAGAACCAAGTTTACGAAAACATCGCAAAGGTTGGGAAAATTCCTTCTAAGTGCTTCCTCCTACCCCCAACCTGGCTGAGGCCTTCAGGTATTAAATAACAACAATAACATTAAGGGATCTTTATTATTGAAAAAATAAATAAGATAATTACAAGTTCACTCTGGAAACAATAGAGACTACAGATAGATACAATAGACTTCCTTTAAATACAGTCATTTCTTGATGAGGAGTGGGCAGGCTCGGGCTGCACCCCCACTCCATCTACAGTGGGAGAGATAGGCACAGGGGGGAAAGAAAATAACTGGCTAGCAACCGCCTGACTCTGTGTGTGTGAGAGAGAGGGAGAGGGAGAGATTGAAAAAGATTAGGAGAGAGAGAGGGAGAGATCGAGAGGAGAGAAAGAGCGCGAACAAGCACAACTGAAAGAGAGATGAAGAGAGAGATCGAAAGAGAATGAATGACTGTCAGGGTGGGTGGCAGGGGCAGAGTTTTTCAGTTCTCCATCCCGCTAGACATTCTAGAGCCCGGCCCCCTCCGTCAGGGCCCCAGGAACCCAGAGTCAACCCTAAATGAATGTGATCTGAGCCTCCCCATTTCTCTTCTGCTATTTTCACTGATAAATCAAATACATTGTCCACTGAAAGATACCGCATGCAAAGGTACAAAACAGAACTTGGCTAATCGTCTGCTGTTTACTCAGAATTCAGTCTGGGCATAATGGCTTTGTCTTCATAGGAGTCTCTGGATGTTTGTATCAGTGGGGTTGCTGCTTCAGAATATAAGCTCTTAGGGGGCAGGGCCCGTTTTGATTTCACGTGCCCTGTAATTCATTTATTACAGCCCTACATGCCTTGGGGTATATAATAAATAGTTCTCCATGAGGAGGATCCTAGGGTTATAAATAGGCAGTTCAGCAGGGGGTGGTCTTAACTGCTGTGCTGCAAGGTCACACTGTTCAGAGTTTGAGTAAACCAAAGGATGTGAAGCCAGTCCCATGGCTCACTAGGCTTGGATCAGTCACATTGACAAACACCGAAGCACCTGGTTGCAATTCAAATACTCCTCCCAAGTGAATGGATTGTTGCCCACAAGGTTTGGAGGAGCTGTGGGTGTTTGCTGCTCTGAGTAAGATTCTCTCGGATCCACCAATGGACCTCAGGCAGACGCTGGCTATAAATGGAGCTTGACTCGAAGCTTCCCGATTGGAACAGAAGGTGACTTGGGCATAGATGTAATAGAGTCCTTGTCTTTTAACGGTGAGCTGTTTCCCATTTTCCAGAGTCACCAAGTTGTTGCTCATGGTGTAGTATCCTTTTTCAGCCCACTGTAGAACTACAACAAAGAGGAGAAAAATTCATGGTGAGGTAAAGCGCAGCATGGTTCACATTCTAACAGAAAACGTAGATTAATATTGGACACTGGCTTTGCACAGGGATGGATTCTCACAGCTCCTTCCGGCCCTCAGGGTCTAAGGAGGAGATATGACTAACAAATCAGCCAGACAGAGCCAGGTTCCAACCCAGGAACCTCCAATCTCCCCACACTCCAGCTCCTCATCTGCAACACGAGGCTAATGGCAAGACCTTATTTCAGAGACTTGTGAAAATTTTAAAAGTGACAGATTATGGTGAGTTTTCTTCTCTCTTTAAGGTCCATAAAGTCAATTTGCCCTTGAATTTAAGAAAGTTGAAATGACTTCAAAGTTCCACATGATCAATTATACATACCTAATCATTCAGATAAAATCCTTGCTAATATTAATGGGGATTTCTTGCTTGTCTTAACTTTTACGAAGTCAAAGAGTTGCTAGTCTACCTAGCTCAACTTCAGCAGAGAAAAGACCCCATTTGTTCCTACCTAATCACAGTGTTACAAACCCAGCCTGCCTCCCACAGCAAGGACTAAAATTAGGCAAGGAAGTATGAAAATAAACTGTGTGTTTATTTCACTGTGTTTTGATCTGCCATTGTAGTGGGTGCCACCAACTCGAAAGTACCTGTATTCTTGTGGCTAAGCAGAGTTCCCACCAACAGTGTGCCATTTTCTCGGCTGAGATGTTGAGTGGGTTCAAAGTAGTGTGTGCACCTGATTTCAAATCTCAGCTCCCACAGAGAGTGAGACTGAGTGATGGGGGTTGGGAAGAAGTGAAAGTACTGATGAGCTTTTCAAAAAAATTCCCATCTGGTGGTCTTAGGCTCATCAGGGCACAAGACCCTTCCTGCTAAGACTCATCCTCTAGTAATAGGGAGGCATCCCCAAATACCTGACATATTTGGGCCCTCTAGACCACTCAAGAAATAATACTTCATTGTGATATATTTACCTTTTGGATCATTCAGTTGAGGCAAAAAAAAAAGGCAGGGTTCTCAACCTTTTAGTCTAGTAAGTTTACTTTGGTAAGTCTTTTCCTAATTTTAGTATTTACTGTGGGACGTAAGGCAAGTTTGGAGCAACATGGCCAAGTACAAAGAGTTTGGGGACTGGAGTGGGGGAAGAATGTTTCTGTCTGCTCACCTGAACCCCTGCAGACCTACTGTAATGCAGACCATAGATATTATGGGACTGACACCAATCACAAGCCTTTCAGGAGAATCTGAGCTCCATGAAATATATCCAAGGGCAAGGATTTCAATGCAGATGGACAAAGACCAATGGGAAGCTATTGTCCTAGGAGGTTTCTCTGTTGCTGTCACCCAATTTAAAAGAGAGAAGGTAATTATGGCCACCCTGGGTAAGGGCATGGTAATACAGTTTTTACGTTCTCCCATAAGTGTATTTTCTGAGAAATGGGTACTTGACAGAATTATTAAATATAGTAGGGATAACTGATATTAATGAGGGGCTTTGACTCTCTCTTTTGACATTTAAACCACAGAGAAGTTGACAAAGTAGTGGCACTTTGCATCTGTATAGCATTTGACAGCACAACTTTCTGCCACATTAGCTGATTTGATGCTCAAAGCCACCCTGCGGGGTGAGTGAGGTAGGAAACTGCTGTGTAGATAAAAGGACTTGTCCAAGGTCACCCAGCAAGTGGTGGTCTTGATTCATGAACTCCAGTGTTCAAACAGCTCCCATCTGGTGCTGTTATTTCCGTACCATGAGCCATGATAACCATGCATGTGTTGCACCCACTGAGAAGCTCGAGCCACCTCAGAAATAGGTGCTATCTTCTCTGTGTATATGTGTGTGTGTAGTTCTAAACATGTGCGCGCACACACACACAGTTTAGATCTCCATTCCGGAGCACTCTGCTGAGTTTTTCAAAGACTGCTGATGCTCTTGCCTTCGTGTCTATGGGGGAACTTTATGTTAACGTGCAGGTTTTCCATCCATTTATCAGATGCGACACATTCTCCAGCACCAGCTAGCACAAGGTACAGATTTGGGAAAAAATCTAAGGGCTAGAATGGTAGCAGAATGCATATGGAAATAAAATCGTTCAGAGTTGAAAAGATCACAGCGTGTCGTCTGTTGTTACTTCATTGGAAAATCTAACGTCTTGGCACCTATTGATCTTTACAGAATGATTTTACCTTTAATTTCCCTGAGGTTGGCCCCTGTGAGCCTGGGCTTAATCATACAGGAATTGACAGATGGCAGGAAGTACCCCCTGAGGCCCATTTCCACAAAGTGAAGAGGGGTGAGGAGATGGGATGCTCCCAGTCATGAGGTCACTCCCTGCCATCTCTTCCAGGTTGTCAGAGTAATGGTCTCTCCACCCAGTAATTTATCATTTAGAATCAGCCATTGAGCAAGAACATAATGAGAACATCAGGCATCGTCCCACCTCCTTTTGTTCCCTTAAGTCCCATCTGTGCACTTGAGCTCACTTTGCAGACAAAGGGGAGCCTATGAGAGCTATATGGCAAGGTTTGAAAATTGAACTCCAGAGGAAGACAGGAGCCTAATCATTAGGTTTCACTGCCTGGGCATCCCAGCCTTCCCCCTTGGGTGGCTAGTGCTCAGATGCCATGGGACTTACCAGATGCTGGTTTGCCACTGGCCTCACTTACGACATGTGCTGCAATTTGAGGGTTGTGATCACCTGAAATGAAACCAAAAGCAAACTGTCATGCCAAAGTAATACAAAATTACCCACAGAAGTGTTTGGTCAAGTTCTGCAAGTGTGTACCAGACACTGTGCTAAAGTAGATTACACAAAGGGAAGGATGAAATGCTCTGAAATCTCACCCACTGAAGGAAAACTTGGGTTCTAATATCTCAATGATTGAATTGGCTGTTTTCATTGATCTCATTCTCCTAGTGCTTGATCAATAATGGATTCCATTTTACATAGATTGGCACAGGCTGAAAATACTGGTCTTCATTAAACATAATTGAATTTTGCTTTTCTCAGTGGACCCCAAGGTTGTGTCTGCACACTTAGTAAGATGCTTATGGTGTCTAATTTGGGCGAGCAACTGGCCACACTATTGTGTCTGTCTCTAATTGCTACTCATGTGAAAGGATTACTCCTTAATAAGCAATAATTTCTTTTTTTTTCCATTATGCACACTTTGTAGATGCCCTATACATGTTAAGTCAACCTGCATGACCTAAATGACCAGTTTGGTTAATTTTATCATTTTCTTGAAGACTGCTAGGCAGTATCCACATGAACTCCTTCTCAAATTTCACCATAATTAACAGACAACATGGTATCAGTCAACATATCTTGTAGTCATTTTGAAGAGAACCCCTTCATGGAAATCAGATGACTCTTTAACTTCCAAACCAGCTCTGAGTCTCAGAAAGTAGTATCTGTATCTCTGCATGTATGTATTTCTTTGTGTGTATTCGATTTGCACAAGTCCTATTATCAAGTTCACCAACTTTGTGATATAATAGTCTCTCTAATAGCACCCCTTCCTTCCCACACTCTGCTGCTCATTATTGTGTTGGTATGGGGTTCAGGGAAACATCAGTGTGTCTGGAAAAGGAGGTAATTTGAAGAGAAAAAACCCTAGAGAGGGTCATAGGAGAAACAATGGAAGACATTGGGGATTTTTAGCCTAGAGCAGAGAAAGGTTATGCAAGGCTCAGGGGCCATAGTTGATTTTGATTCAAGAGGAAAGACTTTTCTCAAGCAGTATAGTAATCTTACTATAACTGTTAGAACCATTTGAAAATGGAGCAGGCTGCCTTATGAGGTAGACCTGTTTGATCACGGGCCTGATGGTCAGGGTTGTTGTGAATGAGATTCATGTTCTGGGGAAGGTGCTGGATTTGAGAATCATCAAGCTCTTTTCCAACCCAGAGATGTTCAAGATGCTGTAACGTCATGAACAGGGCAAAGAATAGAATGTTGTCACAGTGTTGCTCTTTGATGCCAGAGGCTCCACCAGCCACTGTCTCCCACAAAGAACCGTTATCGTTGAGTGATGAACACCACTGCTACCAAATGATGACTTTCCTGTCATCCCATCCTCTGTAGGTGGTAACAGGCTATATGGTTGCTTTAGTTTAGGTATTGAACATAATGAGATTCCTTTAGACTTTGGTATTGTCAGTATGAGAGGAGCATAGCCTTCCCTATAAATATGTACATACAAAGCCTTTCCAAACCATAGGGACCAGGAAGGTGTCAATCTGATAACTATATCCCTATTTTATTACCAGGACTAAAAGTTCCCTGATTCAACACTGGTTTGTTTTCAGATTTCCTTTTAGTTTTAAAGATTCATAAAAATTGGCAAACAGCAACTTACCTTTTTGCATTTCAAAGTTGTTTTCATTTTTATTCTCCTCTTTGTTTAGCATGATTTTCTGAAAGAAGAATCATTACAAAAGGTCATTTTGACTGGCTGTGCTGTGGGGTTGTAAAGGTATCATTCATTTGCCCCATGTCATTACTCTGTTCCTTATTTCTGATGAGGATTATCACATCAACTCAGATCCTGTCATTAATTCCATCATACCGATTGGGATCCCATGGCCCTGACAGATGAGCTGACAGGGGAGATGAGCCCAGGGGAGAATCTGGAAGCAAAATCCAGGCCCTATTATCTCCATTCCCATGCTCTCTCCAGACCAGAGGCTGCACTACTGACCCATGCTATGACCCTGACCTCTCTGGCTTTGACAGGTATTGACAAATAATGTTGAATGGCGAGATGATCCTACCCTGGGAACTGATATAGAGGATATTATTAAACATAAAGCATGGTGTATATCTATTAGAATGAAATTAGTCTGAAGTCTCATAGGAAAAGGTCATAGTAAGTTTGACCTTGGGAAAGAAAACGCAGACTATGAAAAGACTCTCAGATATTTTAAATTTTGTTTTCCTTTACAATGGGTTGAAGAGATTCTCTTGTTGATGGTTGCTTTGTATAACCTGAATTTCTTTAGAATAATTAGCATTTAGGAAACATCTCCCAGTGCTGCTGATGTTCAAAGGCAAACGTAACACTTCTTCAAAGATTTGTTTTTACTTATAACCTAATGGAAGCCTAGAGATACTTAAAGACCCAGGGACTTCTGTCAACGCAAGTTGGAAGATAATAAAGGCTATTCCTGCCTGTTTAAAGAGACTGAACAAAGGTACTAAAGGGCTTAAGTGGACAGTATCAGGTCACCCAAAGAGACTGACACTTAAACCAAGAGTAGCAACTGTGAGATCGTATTCACAGGCTGGGCTCAGCTCATTCCGTCTTTCTTCTGAACACAGGAACAGAGTAGCATTTCCACTTCTGATAATCAAAGTCCCGTGTGCCTTCCCACTCCTAGGATTGATTTTCTATAGCACCCTTCATTTTCCTTCCTCCCCAGAAAGGATTTGTATTGTCACTGTTGAGAGTCTTGCTGTAGGCTCAGCTCAGTCACCAGGTGTGAGGGCGTAGATCACAGAGGCCCAAGGGGAACCTGAGCCTCGGAACTCTCACATGGGCCTCAGAGCTTCAACTTTCCATTTGAGCTGAGGTGCGGCACTATAAAGACACCGCGACAGGAAAATGTTTGTGAGATCACAAGTAAACAAATGACTATTTAGTGTCTTTTCAAAAACTGGAGTGTGATGATTGAGGTTGAGATACTTTTAGGCTAGGTGGTTTCATTGGTGTCATAGCCTGGCACCCATGAAAATGTGAAGTCAGCAAAGCTTGTCTTGTATGAGCCCAGCCTTGCCTTTCTGTGAATGTGCCCCCAGCTACACTTCCCAGAGTTTTTTTTTTTCCTTGCTTCACTCCCCATCTCAACTAAAATACTTATTAAAATAAACTCTCAGAAAATCTAGGATTGATTGTTTCTCTTTTAGTGGGAATTCTATCTTGCAGGTATGGACAGGTTACCCTTTATCTCAGAAAGGAAATGTGCTGACCCTCTCAAAGGCATTTCAGGCATTGGCGGGCAGATATTCACACACCTGATCATTCTAGGAGGAGGTCGGGTGGGCAGTAAGTTTTAATGTGAAGTTGTACTGTTCAGAATGACATCTCCATTTATCCTAACATGAGCCCTGAATCCCATCTTTCCTCCAGAGTGCAGCTCAGTGTTTCCTGCCTTAAGAGATAGAGATCCTTGTCACTAGAAAGAGGTGTTCACAAAGAGATTGGTGGCCACTTGACGGTGGAGAGAAGACTAAAGTTCTGGACTAAGGATCCGATCTGATGTTTTCTGAGACCCTGCCAGGCCCTATTGATTCAAAGCCCCCAAACTCAATCTTGAGGTTGCTCTGAACTAACCGAACTGTGTCTCAGAAAGAACTCCTGTTAACAGCTGAGAAAATACAAATCCAATATGGGACTTGCTGGTGGTTGGCTTAAAAAATCCTCTAAAGTACTATTTTTGAGTGACAAATTTGGAAGAATGGGTATTGGAAAGGGATTGAGTCATTAGCAGGGGTATTGGGTAGCTAGAGGACTTTGTACCTAACCATTGTCCCCATCTGCTGCAGTGGAAGCAAGGGGTCTCTTTAGTCATATGTAAAGAGGAGCGCCCTGGGGCCCCAGCTGACATGTCTGACAGGTCTTCCCTTTTAGAGTATGAAGCTTTGAAGCTATGTCACTTTTTTTCATACAAGCATAAGCAAGAAGGCCAATCTAACTCTTCCCTTACTCCTATCCTGGTAGCTGATTTTCGAAGCTTTACATATCAACCTGAAATAAAGACGCAGGAATTGGCAGCTCAACTGTAAAACTCTCAGTAAGAAAGAGAGGGAAGAAAAAGGACGAGCCGCTCTGGCTTCCATTGGAGAACCCTGAATGCTGTTTGTTCCCATAATTACAGCCCTTCAGAGCTGTCCTTACAGATGATCTCAGCCCTCCCTTGCTATAGATGAGAAAACTAAGGCCCTGAGAGGTGAAGTCTTTTGCTCAAGGTCACACAGCCAAGCTATATGGATTATTTAATACACTATGTGGATTATTAACTGTTCATTTTATTCTTTTTTTTACTTATTGTTGCGGATTCATGGAGGGTACAAAGAACCAGTTTATAACGATTGCTTATGTCAGATAAAGACCCTCCCATAATAACTATCCATTTTAAAGTGTCTTTATTCACATTTAAATGAGTAACACCTTCTGATACTCCGCTAATACCTGCCAGAATCCCCAAAGAACCTGAGAAACTCAAATCATTTCCTGAGCTGGCCAGTCTTACAAATAAAGGCTTAGGAGTTTCACCTGAAACGTAGATTAGGGGAAAGAACGGGAAAGCCAGCAGTGGATTTGAACTGTATTCCCATCTCTGTAGGTGACTCAGGAATAAACTGTTAGAGTCTTCACTACTGGATTAAATGACACACAGGTGACAGTATAGATAGACAGGAATAAGCTCAGAAATAAGATCTTAAGCCCACTAACGCCTGCGTTAAATTACACATCATCTACGTGTAAGTACTAATTCCCGTCAAGGGCGTCCAACCTTTTGATTTCTTTGTGAAACATTGGAAGAAGAGTTGTCTTGGGGCCACACATTAAATACGCAAATACTAACAAAAGATAATGAGCAAAAGAAGAAAAGTCTATGTATAATTTTCATGATACCTACTGCGACAGATAAGGAAAAAATCCTCACATAATCCTCACATGGCCTGCAGGCTGTGGGTTGGACACCCCTGGCTCCAGATATGCACTCATCTGGCACAGAGTTGGCCTTAGTGTGGAGTGCTGGCTCCTAGGCACAGGTCTCCAGTGAGCTGAGGGCCAAGGGTATCTCTTTGGCTCAGTGTTCTGAGATGAAAATGGGTAGATAGAATTTTTGACGTTCTGCCTCAAAACAAGGAACCTCTAGACCTCATGTCTGTGAGGACGGGATTAATACAAAGTCTCTAAAAATTCTTACTTTAGATACCCATCGTAGGCTACAATCGCTGCAGTGACTTCACGCGGACTATCAGCCCGGTGGGCTAGAAGGCTTCAAACCCTTGTTGCTTCTGGTCATGACCGGCCCTAGAGAGCACTGGCTTCAAGAGTAAGTGATATTAGACGCATATGGAGTCTGGTTTGAGCGACACTGACGATGTCTGTTCTCTATTCCCTGTACCTCTCTCCACAGCAAAAAGGAAAGATCTCACTATCCGAGCACCTGAAATTCCATCAGCAGAGAAGCACAGGAGACTGTTACCAGTCTGCAGGAGACCCTTCACTTGTGGCCTGCCAACACGGCAGCTGCCGACGGCTATGGCTTCTCTGGGAAGTGGGGATCAGACTGTGGAGCTACAGTGGGAAGGCAGCGAGGGGTGGATGCGGAGATACAGAAATGCAAAAACCAAACTTGGTGTGCTTCATAATTTTGCCCAGTGGTAGCTGCATGTGTGAGCTCCTATGTGTGAGTGTGCCCACGCGAGTGTGCATTTCCCCCAGATAGGGCCTTTCGTGTTCTTCTCATCTCCAACATTCCTTTCCCTTCTAACATAGAATTTTGGCTTTGTTTTTGCACCGATAGAGACATTCATACACACCCCCATACCCATGTATATAAGGATGCATGTATACATACACGTATATATGTGTATATATGTGTGGATAACCAATGTTTAAGCTTTTACATTGTTACATTTCAGTTTTCCAACCTAGCCAAGGTAGTAAAAACATTTCGATGACAATTTTACCAACCACGAAGCTCCTTACCTTGACAAAGCCTTCAAACTGGCTTCTAATCTCCTCACAGTTCAGCAAGGATAAGGACCCTTCTCCTTTGTTGCATCTCTGTATCGTTTTCATGAATACAAAATCCTCATGAAGATTCCTTTCATCTTCTATCTGTTTTGAAACAACAGGAATATGAGAAATGTCATTCTGAAGGAGAATACCGCTAATGGCATCTGCCTCCACCTTCACTTCACGGCATCAACAACGAGAGGGCTTCGGGGGCATAAATGGGGAATAACAAGTCATTATACTGACGCGTTGCGATTTGATATTTACAGTTTAAGAGTCGATGAAAGCTGGCAATTAAGATGTCATATTGTCTGAAATTCTAGGTAGAAATCACAGCTATTCTAATAAACTTTCAATCCCCAAAATGTAAATTCTTCAACATAATTTTCAACAATATTCTATAATTGTCATATTTCCCATTGCTTCAGTAATGATTGGTCATTATAAACATCAGCCCAGAAAATTGTTTTCTGCTGAGCTAATTTGCCCACTTCATTATAGTGTTTGTGATGCAGTGCTTGAAAAAAAGAAGTTAATTTGAAATGTGTGTCAATTAACTTGAATCCTAATTACATCTCTCTCTCTTTAACTTTTTAGTATTTGTAGAAAACATTTGCATTTTTAAGGAAATCATCTTTCATTCGCAGAGTTAATGAGATATTTTATTTTCCACTGTCTTAGTGTAATTAAATGTATGGGATTCACTTGCATCATTGACTAATTCTGTACCACTTTCTTGTTTTGAGAGTAGATTTTTTAGATTCAAAACAAGATCCAGGGAGCTGACGGTTATGCTGTCAATGACAGCACGCCCAAATGCTGTGAGTCTACTCAGGTCACTATTTTCCCAAGAAAGGACATCCAAGGATCCCTTAGAAAATGTGGCCATCCGATGCTATCCAGCCAACAGTACCCACAATCAGAATTTTTGGAAAAGCCAGATAATTGACCAATTTTCCCCTTTACATTTATAATTAATATTTTCTCGATACAGCCAATAATGCCCCTTAGTGGCTATTAATAAATACAGGGAAACACAATAAATCCTGATGATTATCTTTTTCTAAGAATGCGAAGAGACCTACTAAGATACTTCACTCTTTTGTTCCCATAAGTTCAACCATTTAAGAATGTAAAACATCTCAGAGGGAACTGAACACCTTGCAGCTACAATCAGTGCTTGAGGAATTACATGCCAAATGTCACTTGTGCTAAAAGACTGCAGAATCTGGGACCTATCCAAGTGTACGCTAATCTGAAGCACTATGAAATTTCAGATCAAATTGATGCGCTCCTTCTCTAGTTAGAAATTTACAAGGAAAAAGTTGTCTCTGTCAGAATAAAAATAGTTTACTTCTTAAGAAAAACTTTTGCAAATAATTATAGCTAGTGCCGATGTAGTGTAGTGCTTACTATGTGCTGGGCACTGTTGTAAGCTCTTTACGAGGCTAAATTCACTTAATCTATGAGACTGGTACCATTTCTCAAATGTGGAGACTGAGGCCTAGATACCTAAAAGTATCTTGCCACGGGATTGCCCGCTGGTAGAAATGTAGTTAAGATCTGAACCCAGGTGGTCTGACTTGAGATCCTAACCAGAGACAAGAATATGAGACTTGACTGACTAGCCAGCAAAAATTACTCCATAAGACCATTCATTTGGGTTTCTGCCATCATCCATCATCATTTGGGTAGCCCTAACAAAGCCACCCATAAATCAATAAGAACCCCCCATTTAGTTAAGAACATCTCATCTTACCTTGTCCAACCTTCTATGAAGATACACAGCAAAAAGTGCTGACCCAATCATCTGGGTGATAAGAAAAATAGTAAGTAAATACATAAAAATTTTCATGCTGACAGGGGGTCCGGTGGCCACAGAGCGGGGAGAAGGTTGACCGTACGTTTCGATCATGCTGTGTTAAAGTTGAAGTGGTATCTTCTGGCCAAGAAGGTGGCAGCGGCAGCATGAGAAGACTGTCAAAGTGGCCACCTTACTCAGGATTAGTTAAGAGCACACAATCGTCGCAGCCCACACTTCCTGGAAAATGTGCTTCGTAGTCTCTCTCCCAGCAAAAAAGTTACGTAAAGGTTTTTTTTTTTTTTTTTTTTTTTTTAAAGTATACCCATATCATTCACTTCCAGGCTTTCCTTTTTGTTAGTAAAGAAGAAACTCTTCCATACATTCATTCTTGCCTTGAAATGTCATAGACTTCTTAACAGACAGTGGCAGTATTTTCCTATTGCTGTCTAACTTTTCGAGTTCCCCAGTTTCAAGGAAAGTGACAAATTCATCCACCAGCAACAGACTCATTTCCATTTCAATCTTACTAATATAAAGTGGGAACTTGGGGGACGGGGAAAGAAACACATGTCAACAAAAGTTTGGATCAATTTCATGACTGGTGTGCCACTAGCTAATGGCTGCTCAAGACTCAACTTTTGTTAGTCTCTAAACTCAACAAAATTCCGGCAAGCTTTTCAGATCAAGACAACATGGCATAAAGTAAAAAAGAGCTCTGACGGTTATTAAGTAAAATTTAGTTGGAATGATAATACAAGAAGAATAAATTCCCCCCCAGGCAAAGATAAGTAAAGTCTTGATGGAAATCAGGATAAGAAACTGGAATTGAAGTTAAAGTGGGGACATTGGCTTGGCTTAGCCAAGTTGCCTGTCTACACTGTCCTAGGCCATCAGATAATTGCTGATGCTGATGTAACAGTTCAGAATAGGGAAAAGAGGCTGCAGTCAAGGGCCCTCAATTATAGTCCTTACTCTACCAATATGTTGGTAAATCACTTTATCTCCACCGTCCTGCTTTCTCATACCTGAAAGGGCCAGTGGGACCTGTCTCGCTTCTGCTTATTGTGCGGGTTGTTGTGAAGACTGAATAAGGATGTGCACAAAAGAGATTGGAAACATGTTAAGCAATGGACAACTCCTATCCCCGATTTTAGGAACTTGTTTCGCTTAAGATAAGAGTTTTCCCAATACTTGCCAACTCCTCACGTACAGGTAAAAACCAAATGAATAATAACATCACAAATACCTAAAGCTTTGACAATGAGTTGCATCGTTGAGGCGTGTAGGAGTACACGTTTCTGAACGGCCTTTGCATCATCTTATCAGATTGCCTGCAGACTCAAAGCAGCTGTGGAAATCCCTGCCCTACATCCCATACTGGTATAGAAACCATGATAAAATTGCTTTGGTGATTCCTCTCCAATTGTTTTGAGAGATAAATAGGAAACGTAAGAAGTGCTCTGATAGGCATGCCGTCTGTGTAGCTAGCACCTGCTTTCTTCCCCTCCCACGCCCCAGCATCCTGTCCTGGGCCCAGATCTGTGTAGCTTTTCACTGCATCTACCAAGTAGGTGGCTTCAGGGCACGTGATGAACTTTGATCAGCCAAGTCGGAGGCTTTGGTTCTTAGATGGGTAACCTTCGTTCCACTGAAGGAAAATTATCACAAGAGCCAAAAGGGGCTCAAGGACTTCTCCAGGGCCAGTTTCATACAATTACAAAGTGCCAGAACCAGCTCAGCCAAATTCTGAGGGAGAAGTGGCTAAAGGGACCACGGAGGTGCAGACAATGGCAGGATTTGGTCATGTCACCAACTTGAAGCAAGAGCTGGGTTGTCCAACTTCCTGCCTCAACTTCTTCATCTCCAGCCTTTTGCCGTCTCGCTTCTGCCCACAATGTTCCCCGGAAATTACTTCCACCATTATTGGCCCAATAATAGTTGTGGCTGAATATTTTTTAGAGTTTATTCTTAGTGACTTCTCCATTATTCTGTTGTCATCTTTCTGAATACTCCCCCCCCCCTTGAATTTTATACCATCATGCTTTTACGGGCGTCTGCCTCTCAGAACCCTTCATGTGATCCTCTTTTCTTTTTGCACCTCTTAAAACTTTGTTATTCTCTACTCTCAGTATTTTCTCTCCTCCTTCTTCCCCTCCCCTCCCCTCCCTCTCTCCTCATTCTTCATATTTACCTAGAGTGAGTCCTATCTACTTTTACGATTTTGACTATGACCTTCATTGTGATGTACCTGCAGCCCCGAATTTCAGATTTGTAAGTGCAGGTACCTCTGAATATCTCTACATGCTTATCCCAAAGTCACCATGTATGACCCAAACTCATCATATCCCCTCTCTACTTCCAACCCAGGCCTCTTCTCCCTTAAGGGTCTCCCTGTCTCAGTGAAAGGTCTCACCGCCCAACTAATTGCACAGGTCAGAGACCTGGTCGTCATCCATGATTTCTCCCTCTCTCTTCTCCCAGATTTCTCTCCAATCCCAATACCTTTTTCTTCTGTAAAGCTTCTTGGTTGCCACTACTTCTCTCCATCACCCTTGCCAACATCTTAGTCCAGGCTTACGTCTGCTCTCTTTTGTAGATTACTGAACTGTCCCATCCTAATCTGCCTCCTTGCTTCTCTTCCCGTCACACCCCATCCATCTTCCACACTGCCAGCAGAATGCTCATTCTAAATCTCATACACAACCATGTTAGCTAATCTGATGTGACCCCCTAAGACTCTGTCTCAGACCCAAGGAAGCATGTTGACACAGTGCCCTGGCATGTTCAACATGAATGGGATTGGCTCCAGAATGCATTGCTCGCACCTTAAGTCTTGAACCCTCATCTTTCTCCCATCATTCTGTCTGGTCCTCTCATTTGATACCACAAAATTGGTTAACTTTCCAACTTCCAAACTTAAGCTCTGTTTTCTGATTTTTGATCCTGTATCAGAAGTCCTTTGTGCTAGGACCTCCCATACCTGTTGGTAGTGTTTGGGTGTTTGGTCTCTCCAAATCTCATGTTGAAATTTGGTCTCCAGTGTCAGCCTGGTGGGAGACGTTTGGAGCATGGGGCAGATGCCCTATGAATGGTTTGGTGTTCTCCCCTCCATAATGAGTGAGTTCTTGCTTTATTCATCACGTGAGAGCTGGTTGTTTAAAGGAGCCTGATACACCACCTCCTCCATCTCTCACGCCCTCTCTTGCCATGTGACACATCAGTTTCCCCCTTCACCTTCTACCTTGATTGGAAGCTCCCTGAAGCCCTACCCAGAAACAGTTGCTGGCACAAAGCTTCTTGTACAGTCTGCAGAACTTTGAGCCAAAATAAACCTCTTTTCTTGATAAATTATCCAGCTTCTGTTATCTCCTTTGTAATGATCTAAAATGGACTAACACACCTGTCTTTCCCCAACCAGTGGTGGGCTAGCTGTGGTTTTTTGTCCTCTTTGAAAATGTTAAGCTGCCTAACACACCCAGAAATGATTATCAAACTCAGTTTCCAAGAAATGTATTGCTCTATGAAGTGCATGAAAATGCCTGTAGCCAAAACTAAATTTTGGCCATCTTTTTTTTTAGTTTTTAGAAAGAATTAAGTTCATGGATTTGAATTGTTTAATTTTCTAGTCATTCTTCCACAGAGTTTTCTTAAATCTCTGTCAGCCTTTTCTACTATTGCTGTTCTGCTAGCTAGCAACTGACCTGTGGCAAGTAAGTATCAAAGGAAAAACATTTTTAAAAACAATGGATCATACTCAACAGCTTGTTTTTGGTGTGAGTATGCTTGTGGTTGTGATTTTATATTGATAACCTAGAACACAGTCATAGTTTCTGCTAGGAAAATTCTTTCCAGTACATATGAAAGAGTTAAATACATCAGTATTTTCTTTGTTCTATGAAGGGCTTCACGAGGACTCTTTCCCCCCTGAATATGTCTGGAAAACTCTCACCTAGAGGAAAGGATCTCGATTCTTAGCGTGGCAAATGAACTGACCCCTCCCCATATTTCCTGCTTCATCTTCCTCAACTCACTCAGTCTCAACTCTGAGCATCAAGCATATTAAGCTGCTTTTATTTCCTTAAATGTGCTGCTTTGGTCACGCTGTTCCAGGTGCATCGGCTGCTTCTCTCTTCTCTTTTCCACTAATGTGGAAGTGAAATATCTGTTCCAGCTGACAAGGTGCTCTGTCACAGCATTTGCTACACCATATCATAATGGATTTGTCTGGCTTTCCTACTAGTCCCTCTTAGAGAAAAGAGACAATTAAAAAAAAAGTCAGACTCTGTGATTCCCAGCACATTGTAAAGAATGAGTATAATAAATATAACGTAAGTAGCACGTTATTACGTTTTAAAGACCACATAGTATTCCATTGTATGAATGATATGTCATAATTTATTTACCTAATCCCCTAGTGATAAATATTTAGGTTGTCCCCAGTCATGTGATATTTTAAAATGCAACAACAAATAAGCATAATAAATATTTGCCAAATTACTAAATCTCCTTTTAAAGGAATAGAAGGAGAACTTAAAAACATTTGAACCTGGAAGAATGGCACTGGCCAGCCTCTCTGGTGATACAAATCAGCATATATTTCAGTTTTCTTCCATTCTTTTACCTCTCTTTTCTCTAGAGTCATTTTCATGAGTTGTTTTCTTCTTTTTCTTTCACATCGAAAGTCTTCCTCAAGTGTCTGCTGATCCTTAGTTGTGTGGTCATATGTATGAATGAAAAACCCTGTTGGTTATTATGGGCAGATGGCATGCCTTTCCTGTGCCACACTGTGTTGATCTATTTCCCCCACAAACCTCTGTCTCGAATGGAAGGGCTGACTGTGGGTTCTGTTAAAGTGGGACCTGTCAACAATCAGGCTTCCCTTTAGGTTATGTGGTGGAGAAGCAGGAAGACCAAGGACCCTCGTAAGTGATGAAATAAGTAGGGCTTTTCTCTGGGGGTGAGGCCCTTTAGAGGGTTTCACTCTTGACTGATACTGGTTTCCCTTTGGTTTTCAGCCTCCTTATCTGCCACAGAAGTCTCAGCACCCTCCCGAGAGCACTCCTCAAGCAACTTTAGCCTGACGGAGGGCAGAGGCCAAATGCTCCTGCTAACAAATGGTCGGCGTGGGGGAGAGAGTGGAGGG